TATTTGCTTGTGCATGTGCGCAACGTATTTCATGAAACCGAACGTAAATTTGGCTCAGTGGTGGGCGGGAGGGTTCCCCCATGTTTTGGCCGGAAATTTTCGCTCCCACCTCCCACCCCATGTCCAACTTCCCGTTGGGGATTTTCTGCGTTGCAGAGGTTTTTAACACTCATGTGGAGTGAGCAAATGTCCAGGTGGACAGCAATATATTTGTTAGTGATGTGTCACAATCTCATGTGAGATAATCCTCGGTCCATGTGGACGGGGGATTGTGCGTTGAAGATGTATCGAAATCTCATGTGAGATGAGGATGTGTCCATGTGGACTAAGGGGATTGTGCGTTGAAGATGTATCGAAATCTCATGTGAGATGAAGATGTGTCCATGTGGACTAAGATGACTTCCCCCGAGCCTAGCCGTAAAAACAGTGCGAGTGTGTCATCCATAAGGGAATGTCAACAATGACCATATATCTATATGAATGTTTATATATGGTTTTTGTATGTGGTTAATACTTTGGTTTGGCTCAAGCGGAGCTCTTGAGAGCTAAGAAAAGAATCTATTCCACCTGGTAGGCTCCTAGCACTCGTCCGTCCAGGAAACGACCTCGTCCTGCGAAGGAATCGAAACCTAAAACGCTGCGTGCAGGCGTGTGGCTGCAACATAACGACCCCGAGATTTCAAGCGAGGTCAAGCTTTGCCAAAGGAAACCCCTTTTCCCTTTTTTCGGGACCCCTTTTTTGGGGACCCCTTGTTTTCTTTTTTTGTTTTTTTCTTAGCCCTGCAAAGGTTGGCTCGCTTGAAATGCAACCTGGAGCCAAATTGCAAGCATATCTCGGGGTCGTTATGTTGCAGCCGCACGCCTGCACGCAGCGTCTTAGGTTTCGAATCCTTCGCAGGACGAGGTCGTTTCCTGGACGGACGAGTGCTAGGAGCCTACCAGGTGGAATAGAATTTGGGAAACTCCCTGTAAAGAGAGAGCGGGGCACGGTGTGGGACTTCGTCTACGCCAGGAGCCTGCTGAGCAACGGCACCTGCCGCCCCACCCACGACGCGGTGCTAGGCTTTGAGCACTGCATGGTGGCCAAGGCCCGGCGCATCTGGACGCGCCGCCGCGCTACCTGGCGCAGGTGAAGACGGACTGTTTGCTGACGCAGCGGCTGCCAAAGCGCTTCGCGGAGCGGCTGCGGGCGCTGGAGGCGCTGCGCCACCCGGACGGCGCGCCGGTCTACCGCGTAGAAGAGACGAAGCCGTTGCTGGGCAGCAGCAGGGCTGCTGCCCAGCAACGCCGCGCATGGAGGCGGAGCGCCCCAAACAACGGAAGTGGAACGAGGCGGACGACCCTGTCAACCACTGCCTGGCGGGCAACTCCCTGCTGCTCACGGGCCTGCCGGGCACCGGAAAGACGCACCTGGCCCGGACGATCGTTGCGAGGCTGCACAAGCAGGGCGAGGCGGCGCACCTGGTGTCCAAGACGCACTGCTCCGCGCAGAACCTGGGGTTGGGGGCAGACGGCCGACCACTGGGTGCGCAGGTACTTGCGCGGCGGCAGCGCGCAAAAGCTGGGCTGGCTGGTTGTGCAAGAGATCACGCAGCTGGACATGGCGCTCTGGGCGGACTGGCCTGCGTGGGGCTGAACCCCGACGTGAAGTTCTTGCTGGTGGGCGACTCCTGGGCCGGGCGGCCCATCAGCGCGCCGTTGGAGCACAGCCAACTAATCCGCGACCTGAAGTGGCTGCGGGTTGGCGAGGAGGGGTGCCCCACGCTGGAGCAGGCCAAGGCGAGGCTGAAGGAGCTCTACCCCTCAAAGCCCGGGTGGCCGGACACCACGCTGGTCATCAGCCACAGCAAGCGCATGGCCGTCAACGCAGCGGCGAACCGGGCCCTGGCGCCGCAAACCTCAAAGCTGCTGCAATTGGAGACTCAGTCTTGGCTGCACGTTCCCTTTCGGATTGAAGCAGTGATCAAGATTCTAACCTTGCTGGCCTGCCCGGGCCGCCAGTGAGTAGAAACGTCTAAATCACTGGCTGCTGGCCAAGTCTTCTTCCAACATCTTCCTGACATATGCAAAGAATGTAAAAACACAAAATTTTGAGGGTCCCTATAAATGTACGTGTATCTCCGCCCTCAAAACGCGTGCTGCGGGGCGCCGAAACAATCGCGACGGAGGCCGCCTCTCTTCCTCGAGCCTCTTCCTGACATGACATGAGCGCGTAAACACTTTGCCAAACTGCAGCTTTTGCCTTAAAAAAGCGTGTTTTTTGGGGCTCAAACAAGCTTGGCGAAGTCGTCCAACACTTCCTGACACGCCATGAGCCTGCAAAGGCATGTCAAAAACTCTGATTTTGACAAATGTACATTCTTAGGGACCCTCAAATTTGAGTGATTTTGAGGGTCCCCGTAAATGTACATTTATAGGTACCCTCAAACTTGAGTCATTGTGTTCCCCATATATGTACATTTTAAGGACCTTCAAATTTGAGTGATTTTGAGAGTCCCCATAAATGTACATTTATAGGGACCCTCAAATTCTTGCCCGTGCTATGACATGTCTTCTGCCCCTCGAGATTCGTGCCTGGAAGAGCTCTAGCGCACAGACAACTGCATTTTTGAGGGCCCCCATAAAGGTACATTTTGAGTGATTTTGAGGGTCCCCATAAATGTACATTTATATAGGGACCCTCAAATTTGAATGTTTTCGAGGGTCCCTACAAGTGTACATTTATAGGGACCCTCAAATTTGACAAATTCATGTGCCTGGAAGAGCTGGAGCGCACAAACAACAGCATTAATACATTTATAGGGACCCTTTTATCTGATTTTGAGGGTCCATCATGTTCATTTTTTGGGGACCCTCAAAAATACACATTTTCTTATAAATGTTGTGTGAATTTTGAGAGTTCTTATAAAACATACGTGTTTTCTCACATTTTGGCGTGAGTTTGAGGGTCTTTATTAATGTACCTTTATGGGGACCTTCACGTGTTTTCTCACATTTTGGCGTGATTTTGAGGGTCCATATTAATGTACATTTATGGGGACCTTCAAAAATACACATTTTTTGATAAATTTTGTGTGAATTTTGAGAGTTCGTTCTCACATTTTAACGTAATTTTGAGGGTCCCTATCAATGTACATATATGGGGACCCTCAAAATATATCTGTTTTTTTTACATAGGGTCCCTATTAAGGTTTCTGTACCCTCTGGACCACCCAATAGCCTTGCGTATAGCGCAGCATCAGCACCTCGCCGGCAAGTCCTGCAGAGATGCGCAGAGGGGGAGGGGAAACGCAAGCTAAAACAACACTACATCGGCCCGCCTGTCTCCGTGGGTGTGCGGCACACGTACAGCGGGTGCTTGCCCAGCATGCCATAGTGCTTATAAGCAAATGCATAGCCTGATCACTGCAACGCGCAGTCTCTACCTCGGCAAGAAGCGTGCCACCAGAAGGAGCCGCTTTCATGGTCCTGCAGGGATGGGCGATGGGGCGTCGATACCTCCAGCGCACGATGAAACGCCCAGTGCCTACATGGAGGGTGGCAGTCAGCATGGAGTGTGGCTGGGTGATACCTTTGAGGAGAAGGAAAAAGCCAAGCAGCTGAGCCGGCAGATCCGAGCTGAGATTGGCGTGAGGCCTGAGTTTCAGGCTACAGAAGTACAACGACAACAAATCTGGCTAAGCGGATCTTTGCCGCGGGCATGATGAGACGGCTCGTTCAGGCAGGCAACGCTTTTAAGCTGGATGAGGATGTGGACGCCTTGGGCCGGCGCGGATTCGAGCCCAATAGCAGTGACAAAAGGAGATCAGAGTGCAGTTCACTTTGAGTGGACAATCCAGGGCAACCCTGTACGTGTGCATTTGCGTGTTTACATGCTTGTGCCGACATGTTCGGTGGGTGTGGCGGCAGATGAATGTCTTCATCGCATGGTGCAGGAGATGGAGACAGTCCAAAGCATTGCAGAAGACTACCATTTTTGAGTCTGGAGAGTCGGATGTGAATTCAGAGCAGATACAGACAGAACTGAGTGCTCGCAGCAGTAGCAGTCGAGCTGAACTGTTTTTCGTGAAAGCAGCAACGCGGCTGTTTCTGCAAGTGAGCTGACAGTTTATGTGACAAAGCATGGAGCCTTCTTTCACAAGAAGGGATGCAAGTGGATTGCAGGCAGAGAGACGAAAGCGATGTTGAAGTCTTTTGCGGAGACGCATGGGAAGGCTGCGTGCCGCAATTGCTTTGGATGGCCAAGAAACATGTAAGACATGGAAGCGTGCGAAAATTGGATACCGGTTTACGCCACGGCTCGGAGCCGCATGGGCACGGTATAGGAGCTTAGAGTTTCACAATGATACAAGCTCTCGCAGTTCTTTCTGCATGAGCCTTTTCACACACATGAGGAGGTGACTGTTTGGATATGAAATCCCCTTATGTAGAGACGCCAGGAGATTTCAAGGCGGGGTGCTAATAAGTGCATCCCCTTTGTTGTCACTTGTGTACAGCACGTGATGCTTGGAGCATGTGTGGTAGAATGTGTTTCATGACCTTCGACCAAGGCGTTCAGATGCAAAGATAGAAAAGTTTAGCACACCAGCCGCATGCACGCATGGCATCCTGCAGCAACCAATGCCTTCGATTGCTTCACGCCTCGCAGGTAACACACCTGGCGCCTGGTCGAACACGCTTTGTTGACCACGGGGGCATTTGAGAAGGCTCAGCAGGGGGGTGCAGGCACGGGGAAAGGACACGCATTGTCTTTCTCCCTGCACCCCCGAGCCTTGACTTCCAAGCAACGCCTTAAAGAAAAAGAGCAAGCGCACCATTTGTCGGTCGCACTCTTTTGTGTTTTGCTGCATGTCCCCTTACGGCTTGAAGCAGTGATCAAGATTCTAGCTGTGAGGGTTGTTTGGGTTCAAGCTAGGAGCAGTGCAACAGGTCTTAACAAAAAGGAGCATGACGCCCTTGAACTGTGCCCGGCCGATTGTCCAGAACACCTGGCCGCCGCCAGCAAAGGCTCATGACCTGCCCGGTCAAAAGAGAGAGCGCTGCGAGCGTTGCCTTTCCATTCAGCCATGCCCTGTACTGTATGAGAACGCATTCTCGTCACTCAAGAGGGGGATGTTGCTCCTTGGCCTCAACTCGCCTTTTTCGTGGTTGCTTTGGAAGCACTGAAGGAGGGAAAAACCCCTGTGACGAGGTGCGCCGCGTGCCCTGGTCACTTTGCGACCTTCCCAGACCCGCGGAGCAACAGAACCACAAGCACAGCCGTTGCTGCTCCGTGCGAGCCTTCAGTTGGTGATGGCACAGTTCTTGCTCAAAGGTTGCAAGGCCTGACGGAATGAAGCGACACAATGGTTTTTGCCGTTAGTTGGAACCAAAGCGCTGAGTCCATCTCAAGCATTTGAAGGCAGATTCAATTAATGATCTTTTGGCCGTGACAGTTTGCAGGGTACATGGAATCATGTTCGGGGCCTCGATTTTTTTGTGCTTCTTCCCATCAACTTCTGCAGTGATCAGTGCCAGCCTCGCTCATGGCGGGCCGCAAGCGAAAGCTTTCACAGCCGCAATTGCCCACAGACTTCATGTCGCTGGAATTGGAGTCAGAGAGCGAGACAGAGGAAGAAACCCGCCCAGCTGGCTTCAGCTGGGCTAGCCCACGTGCAGCGTCTATGGACTGGTCCTGCACCGATCTGATGCTGGACCACGAGATGATGCCTGGCGGCTTGCGGCTGCAGCGCGCTCCCCAGCTGTTGCCGGGGCTGTGGGCCTTTGCCCGCGGCCGGCATGGTGCGTATCAGGGCCGCCACAGCTGGCGTGTGAAGATTCCCGCACGGCCGAAGGCCAATTCATTGCTCTTTGGCGTGCTGGTGCAGTGGCCCGGCTGTCAGCCACTCCCCGGACCTGGCGAGTCCCCGCACCTTGTTTTGTTGGCAGACTCCGGCGAGCACGTCTTCACCTCGGGTCTGTCTGGGGATTTGTTGCGGACGAATTTGCTTCGCGGCCTGCGGGCAGGCGACGTGGTGGAGGCGGGGCATGGTTGCATTTGATTTTACCGTGATCATTTGTTTGAAGACTTTGTTTCTTTTTCCTTTCTCTTTTTGCTTTTTCTTTTTCGCTTTCTTTCGCTTTCTCCTTCTGTTTCTCTTCCTCTTCCTTTTTCTCTTCCTCGCTCTCTTTCTCGTTCTCTTTTGCTTTCTCTTTCGGTTTCTCATCCTCTCGCTCTCTTTCTCGTTCTCTTTCTCTTTCTCTTCCCTTTTCTCTTTCTTGCTCTCTTTCTCGTTCTCTTTTCTTCCTCTTGCGCTTTCTCTTTCTCGTGATTACTTCTCTCTCTCTCTCTCTCTCTCTCTCTCTCGCTCTGCCCCCCCCCTCCCTCCCTCCCTCCCTCCCTCCCTCCCTCCCTCCCTCCCTCCTCCCTCCTCCCTCCCTCCTCTCCCTCCCTCCCTCCCTCCCTCTCTCTCTCTCTCTCTCTCTCTCTCTCTCTCTCTCTCTCTCTCTCTCTCTCTCTCTCTCTCTCCAGGTTGAAGCCCTCAGCTACATGTTAGTTTCCTTGTTGCAACTGCAACTCTTATGCTGAGAGTTTCTGTGTGTGTTTGTGTGTGTGCGTGTGTACTGTGTCTGCGTGTTGTGTGTTCGTGTATGTATGAATGTGTGGGTGTGCATGATGCTGACAATTCGTCTACAGTCAGGGCATCGGGCAACTCGTGTCATTAGCTTGCTTACACATATTGTGTAAGAGCGCCCACAAAAGGCATAAACACGAGTGAAACACATGCAAATAGCTTGCGCAAGACAATTGACATGCGCGTGACATATCGATGCAAGATGGCGAACGTGCGAGAATTATCGTTTCCTCGTGGTTCAGACTTGAAGTCGCCGTCCTGCAAAAGCATTCAGAGCGCTTTGCTCTGTCACGGTTCCGGTTTGGGCATCGAAAGAGGTTATGCGGTAGCCACTGAAGTCGTATCTTTCGCACCTTGCCTTCTGGACTTCAAACAGAATCTGGAAGATTTACAGCGTGTTTCCCGGAACAGTTAGTGGCATAGATCCCCTCCACCGTAACATGGGTTGCCCCCCCTCCATATGAGCCAATTCGTGCCGATCCAAACCCACTTTTGTCCCTAAGTACGGCCCTCTATAGGTCCTTCAATAGGGTCTTACTGCGACCTTTGCCAAGATCCTTGTTCCGGGGCTCGCGCTGACTCCAGTGCCCGTTGCACCTGGCAACCAGTCTAGGTCCCGGTTGTGACGATTGTTATGCTATTAGAATGTTTGGCGGGGGGAGGCCCTCATTCAACGATCCAAGGCTTGCATTCTGAGTTCTCCCAGGGTCACGAAAGGGGTTGCGTAATAACTTTCGGGTCATCAGACAGAAGTTCATTTGTGCGGGGAGATTTCCGACCAAAGTGACATTGAGATAGCTGCCTTCTAACATGGAGCATCCGGTAGGGGTTATTAACCTTGGCTTCTGGATTTGGAGTGGACATTTGGGGGAAAATGAATACCTGGACCTTTATTTCCTAAAACTGCCCGTTTGTTCCTGCCCTGACTATGACTTTTTTTGATCTAGTTTGCAACGGCTATCCGAAAGGCAAAAGGATGTTGTGGACTGAATTTGGATCTGCCACAAGGAGTTAATCTGGTTCGCGTTTCTCTGAAAAAGGAGCATTTGAGACAACCGAGGCACGCAAAGGTGTAGGTTTTAGACATCCCAATATATCCCAATGCGGACCCGAAACAAGAAGTCAAACCTTCATTCAGCCAACGGGTGTTTCGTTTTTCCCCCAACCACTGGGCAAGTGGGGCTATGGCCCCCTCTCACACGTTGGCTGAAGGTCCAGGCTGACTTCAGCCAGCGGCGCCTTCGCTTCCGCCTGGGCCCGGAAGAAGCGGAGGTGTCGCTTCCGGGGAGGCGGGACACGGCACGGAGCAGCGGCGCGGCGGGGCCTTCGCGCTTGCGGGAGGCGGCTTTCCACTTCTTCGTTGCTTTGCGGGAGGCCTTGGTTTGGAGGGGCGATTCTTGAAATGGGCACCTGGGTGACAAAAACCGGTGGATGAGGCAGTTGCGTCTTTCTTTTCCAGGGGATCTTGGTTTGTGGCTGGGAAGAGATTACCGTCCTTGATGAGTTGGGTCAAGAACCATCACAAACTGCGTCTTAGGCGCGACAAACTAATCATTTTCCTTCTACCTTGGGGCTTTGCAGTGGGTATAAAGAGCCTCTTGGTGCCAGGGCGCAGTGGAGCTTTCCGAGCCGAGCGGCGTGGGCGGTGTGGGGCCACGCAGCACCCCGGAGGCCCTTGTGTTGGCAGGCCCCCAGGGCAGTGGCAAGACCCGGTGGGCGCAGCAGGCGGCAGCCGCCAGCGGCATTGGCTTGGTTCTGAATGCGGAATGGTTGCTGCACCGCTCCAACTTTTGCGAAGCTGTGGCCAGTGACGATGAAGATCTGGAAGTAACGGATCCTGCGAAATATCGCCAGAAAATGGCAGAGCTGCTGGCAAAGGCTTTTAGCCTTCCAGACCCGGAGGAGCCAGAGCTGCAGAAAGCGCTTGGCATGGCTGAGGCGCGCAGACTTCTGCCGGAGGTGCTGCCCAGTTTGCTGGCCCGGGCTGCGCAGCGCGGGGTGGGCGTCGTTGCAGACGACGAGCACTTGCAGGCGCAGAGCCGCGCTCGGGTGCGCGCCGCGCTGGTTCGCTTCCCGGGGCGCGTGCGCTGGGTGGTGGTCATCCCTGACAACGTGGAGGAGCTGCAGAGGCGCATCAAGGCCAGAGAAGCGATGGAGGCGACGGCCACGGAGCCGGAGGTGGCTGGATCTGCCTCCCTGCCGGGGGACGGAGAAGCCGTGCCTGTGGAGTACGCGGAGGGCAGTGCTGCGGCCTGCCGTGAGGTGTTCCGAGTCTGGCAAGGGCACGTCCGACATCCGGAGCAAAGTCAATGCGTGCAGAGCTTTTTTGAACCCTTTGGAGAGGTGAATGGATTTGTCAGCACGGAGGGCATGCGCCGCTACTAGTACGCCTGCAACATCATTGAGCGCGGATGAGAGATGCCCTCCACGGACTCCGCGCAGCTGCTCCTCGGCCCAACCGGCGAAGTTGGTCAAGGCGAGTCTCTGACGTGACTTCGATCCCTTCAAGATGCTTCCGAAAGGAGTTGTTGCGACTCAGGCGATTCAAGACAACGAACCTGAGCTGAAGACAGGAGGAAGCGTGTGTTGAGAGCAAACAAAAGCGGCCCTGAGTCATGTGATGGTTAAGAGGGGAACATTTCAATTCACTCACTTAAAAACTCTGTTATGGCCTTCAATAACAATATGGTTTCGGTCGCAAACATGATCAGACTTCACAGCAATATGTGCTGGGTCCAGGTGATGAGTTTCACGATATCTCTTGTTGGCACGCATTGCGGGCGCGGACGCCATCAAACCGTAAATGACCGCAGGTTCCTTGCCGCCAGTGGCCGGATTGCGCGGTTTTCCGCCGGTTCTTTGGGTTCAAGTCCTTGTGCCGCGTTCCAGCCGGGCCTCAGTCGCGGCGTGACAGGCGGGGCTGGACCAATGTGTCACAACCCATTGGACTGTTCCAGCTGGTCGGTTCTTAATTTGAGTTTCCTCTCGTGACCATGCCTGCAAACAAACTCGTCTTGATCTGCATCCCAGTTGGGCTTGCACGAGGCCTGCCATCTTGGTAAGACCAATTGATCGGCTGAACATGACTCAAGACTCACACGTCGAAATCCAGCGTGGGGGTCAACGAGAGTTGCCAACTATCCCTCGAGGTTCTTCCCAGCTCGCTGGTTCCATTTCCAATGCGCCGCTTCCAGCCTTGGGCTGTGCCAGGGCCACAGAGGTTCCGGCTATGGATACGGTGGAGGTTTCTTTTCTCTTCCCCCACTAATTCACTGGGTTTCCTCCCGCGATTATGCTTTTCTGACGGGCAATACGTCAGCAAACCCACCCGTACCTAAATCCCCTCACCCCGATTTCTGACCAACATGCAGCTCTCCGGTGGAAGGAACTAATTGTCGCCTTGCACAAAGAGGTTTCGACCATCAGGTTGCTTTTGCTTTCGGGCCAGCACGGCTCATTCGCGCCTAGGTGTGAGTGGCAAAATGCTTGTGCGGGCGTAGGTTTGACCACCAACGTGTGTGGCAGGCTGTTTGTTGCTTTCGTACCATGGAAGCGTTGAACCAAAGCTTCATTCGTAATCATGCCATCCATGATGATTCTGCATTCCACTTCTTATTCTTTAGCCGTTGGCAAGTTGTTCTTGTTGTGTTTTTTGTTAAATCAACACCCCTGCTTGGAAGCAAACCAGCTACGAAGCGGGATGTCCATCTTGCCTCCGTTGCTCCACCTCGGTGCGTTGCCCAAAATAGGTGCTGCCTTTTAAAATCCTGCCGAACGTTCTCAAAAAGTGACGCAATTTTGTCAGCCCCCGTACTGTACTCGATCTTGCACCTGCCCTGATCAGCTGAGCTCTATCACCCTTCCTCCCAGTGCGGGTTTTTGCGGGATAGTCCCAACGGGGCCGCTACTCGTAGCATCACTCCATTTTTTTTTTCGGTATCTTCCGTGGGTCGTAACGGACCTTCCCCGATAACGGGGAACACAGAACTCCGAGGGCTCCTTAAAATCGCTTCGCAGGCTCCTGCTCGCAGCTCCGGCTGTGGCCGTGGAAGTGCTGCTTGGAGTCATTGGGTCGGGAGTTGGATTTCTGGCAGGACACCAATGGGTCGGATCGAAGAGTTGAAGCCTTCAAAATGCGCTCGTGTCATCTTAGTTGATTGCACTCTCAAATCTGGTATGGCACATGCAATTGGACGCTCGTGCTGCGCAAATGCGATGTCCGGCCTCTTCCATGTCTGGCAAGCACGATTCTGAAAAAAACAGAACGCATGCAAGCTCGACCCCATTCTTCTGTTTTTGTGTATGTTTCTCCCCGGCCAAGGAAATCATAGGGCCATACAGTAAGATTCGGTTGCCTTGGCTCGGCCCAGCTGATGCTCGGAGGCTTGCGACGGTGCAAGCGGACGGGGTTGCAGCGCCCCAGCTGCTGCGAACAGAGAAGGTGTCGAGGGAGTGGGGACAGGTGGGAAAGGGGCTCGGGCGCCCTTTTTTCTTTCTTTCAAAGGGTTTTCTACTTCGACTGCCAAACAATGGTTGCCCTGTTCCCCCCCCCCCCCCACAGTGGAGGTCAGGGATTTCCACACCATGTTGTGTCCACGGATCAGCTTCATCGTTCTATGGGGAGATGGGCCGAAACCCCATCAACCTGCTGCTTTCGTTTGTGCCTAAGGGACATATTTCGGGGAGTCTTGGCCAATGTGCCTTTGATTCACTTCTTCAGAGCTGCCAGTTCCGCCAGTGAGCTGCTGAAGAAGAAAACACGTGGCCAGGGCCGCATCATCTCCGGCGAGGACTTGTGCGTGAACGGGCCCCAGAATTCCTCCCTGCGCCTGGGCTGCACCAAAAACCACGCCTCTCCCTGGACTCCACTTGATGAGCTCACCGATCGGGAGATAACAGGAGGACACGGGTTCGAGTCAAAAACCAAGCCATGCGTCGGGAACAAGATTGCTGGATGCGTTCATTTCCATTGCGGTTTGGCTCCAAAGTTTGCATTTCAATTTTAGAGGGACTGGACATGGAGCACAGCCACTGATCTTACTCCCAACTTGCGGGAAGCAGCAAGAGCATCAGCCAATTGATCATGCGACAAACAGCGCTTGTGAAATCGTCGCAAGAAGCAACCATGTTTGTTTAGTGATCATGAAGTGCCCAAAACTGCCAAGAATGTTTTCAGTGGTCATGAAGTGGCTGCAACCAAAAGGAAACACATTTGTTCAGTGATCCTGAACGCTATCATTTGGTTTCCGGACAAGCAAACAGTAGCTGGATAACATTTGTTTGATTGTATTGCTATAAACAGACAGGTCTGTTTTTGGCGCTCATTTTCATTGTTCCCTGCATTGCTTGTTTTTTTGACCAAAACAGCAACCCCTTTTCTTTGAACATCATGTCACACACACACACATTTTTTGGGCAGGTGTGATCCAACATGTTGAAGTGGAAAGCAATGTTTCCAAATCTCACTTGAAGCGCTACGCATGTTTTGCCCAAAATATGTCTTACAGATGTTTTAGGAGAGGGCTTGCAACCCTACTCGAGTGGTCTCGGTTCCCTCGTTGATTCTTTTGAGTGCCACGCAGTTTGAGCGCCCGGGACGGTGATGTTGGCCTCGTGGAAAAGCTCTTGCTCTCAGGTGTGTGGAGCATAAGTGCGGTGACCAAACCTTTGAGACAGCCGCTTGGACTTCGAGGATGGGGGGTGAACGTTGAGCACAGCTTCGGCACGTTCTTGGAGCCTCAAATGTGGGTCCAACAAGGGCTTCCGCAAGATCTCAAGAGCATTTCTTTGCAACCTAGAAGGTTTGTGGACTCTTGGTTGTCCGGACTCGGTGGGAGTTCTCAGCATTCGGAGCAGCATCATGGATCACAGATCACGTCACTTGGTGTGCCCCGATGTGACGATGCAAGGTTCCTTATGGCGCAGCCACGGAGCCCTCCTCAAGTGACAAGGGGATTCAATGTTTTGGGAGCACCTTTTTTGGGTCTTTGAGGGCTTCCTCACTTTCAGCCTGGTACTTTGAGTGGCGGTTCGCGGGCTGCCTCACTCAGGCGCAGTGCGCCGCAACCGCTGAGGGCGTTGCTGCGTGCCCCGGGACGCAGGTGAATGCCACGGGAGATGCTGGGATTGTCAATGGGGAATCGCCTGCAAAGTAGTCATGAAATCATGAACATCGGGGGACCATTTGGGACCCGCACATTTTGAAGCCAAACCAAAGGTGCCCTTGAATATTCATCTCAGGAGTCTGGAAAGGGATCTTTTCCGACGCCTGCGTTGCCTTTGTTCGATGCAGTGCGAGTGTGTACAGGTCACACAGCAGGTGTGCACGCGGTGTGGCAGTATGTAGGCAGCAGATTGTGGGCATCCATACATTTTCAAGCAAACATCGACTGACAGATTCATCGCCTAAGAACAAGCGAGCCGAAACGGAGCATGCCTTTTCGCCTACAACTTGTGCCACCACATGTCAGGATTGAGATCACAGTCGATGGCATGTGCTTTCCAGCATTGACCATGACACGTGACATGTCAAGGTGACTTTGTCAAGGTAAGCCCTCGAACCACATCTCATGTTGAAGCAAATGTGCTCCTTGTCACACAGAGACGGGAGCGCCGTCGAACAGCATCTTCGCTTTGCTGCCAGGTGTGTCAGGACAAGTCCACCCAAGGCGAGAGTGACAGGGGTTCTCCACAGGGAGCAGAACACGCCGAATTCAAGGGATGCACTCTGAGAGAAGTTTCTCTTGCAAGCCTCAGCTGCATCCCAGGTTTTGGTGTGGACTCCCCAAAGATTGCAAGCAAACTCACTGGACCCACCACAATCTATGGGAACACAGATTCAGGGTTCTCCCAGTTCCGCTCTTATTTTGCGGGGCTCAGCCACAGCAACGCGCAGGCAAAGCGGCCTATAAGTGCTGCTGCCCCCCCTGCGAGTGAGACGGACGGTGCAAAGGCGCGCCTTTCGCATTGTTGCGAGTCGCAAGTCCTACCAATGGTTTGTAGAAAGACATGTGCAGCTATTTCTTTTGGGTCATGAAGTTTGGCAGAAAGCTTTGGCTCGGCAGTTTGAGCAGTTGGTTTCTGGCAGCGACGGCTTTGTCTGACTATTCCCGGCTCAGGTTGATGGATGGCTCGCATGGATGGTGATGAAGAAAAGGGGCGAGCAAGGCTGTGCAACTGCTTCGCCAAGTGCCCTAGAGTCCGAGAACTGGTTTCGGACTTGTGAGAGGGTAAAGCCACAGCAAGGAAGGTGTGCACACCATCTTTGTATGCCGTGAAACTTTCTTTTTCAGGATGCCCTCCATGTCAAGCCAAAGCTCAGAAGGCACAATGCGACATTGCTGGCACGGCCCAAGTGTGCCCTGGTTTCACCTTAGGAAGAGAGGGCGTGAGTGGGGCAAGCCGCAGTGGACGCGTCTTTTAGAGGCCTTTCTCCGAGGACAGACGGGTGTGAATTGAGCTGAGACGTGCCAACTTTTGTTTTGTCACCTCGCGCTGTTTTGCTAGGGGAGGGGAGGGAATCAGCATCTGTACTTCAGAGGGACCATGTGCAAACCATCCCCGGTTCGAAAAATCGCGCGCGATTTGCGCGCGCCCATGGCGCGCCTGGCACTTCTGGCGCTGCTGGGCTCTGTGGAGGCGCTGGACTGCAACGACCAGGCAGGACAGAAAGCTGTCAGACTGGGGATGGGTCTGATTGTCGGTTGATTGTGATACTGGGAGGTTTTTTTTTGTCAGCAGATCATCTTCATTCATTATTTTGAGATTTCATGTTGATTTTCACGTCAAAAAGCTAGATACTCTCCTACACAAATCAACATGGAAGCCGAAAAGGGGGTCCCAAAAAGGAGATTCCTTCGCAGGCGATGGGTTTATGAGTTGGCCATGGGTCAAAATCTCGCACCCCCAGTGAACATCCCAATCCAAGCACTAGAATCGGAAGCCTAAAATGGGAGGGGACAATTCACCTAACCAAAATGGGATCCCAAAACGGTTTTGACCACCAGGTGCCAGTTTGACGCTTGGGAGCCGCCCAGGCGCCCAGCGCCTGCTGCGATGCGCAGCGGGCCTGGAGCCAGATGGAGGTGGCGGGCGGCTGCGGCTCCGCGGAGGATCCGCTGTGCTCCCGGGCGCCTGGGACGCAAACGGCCAGGTGTCTGGCCAGGGGGGCCAGGTAGGTTAGTAAGGCACAATCCAAGTTTAAGAACTGGTTGTGATTGTGACTCAGGTGTGGTTTGGGCGGGCGGGGGAAAGGGGGGAGGGAAGGGGTAGTTTGGTTGGCGTGGTTGATGGGTTGAGTTGATATTGGTAGAAGTAGCTTGGTTCATTGGCAAGATTGGATGTATTTGATTTGCTTTCATTGGTTGGTTGGTTGGTTGGTTGGTTGGCTGGCTGGCTGGCTGGCTGGCTGGCTGGTTGGTTGGTTGGTTGGTTGGTTGGTTGGTTGGTTGCGTTGGTTGCGTTTGTTGCGTTGGTTGGTTCCAAGGCGGAGACCCTGTGCCAGCAATGCCGCAGCGCCATAGACACTTTGCGCTCCGCCGCGGAATCCGACGGATTGGAGTTGGATCAGAAGTTGTCCAACCTGGGCGTGGGCTTCCTGGAGATGCGCTGCGTGCTGCCAGCCCCTTGGCAGAAAATGGGACGGTCCAGTGGACCAGGGATGCGAATTTGGCGGGGAAGGCCTGCAAGCCAGCCCGGTAACGCTATGATAGCAGCGTCCTTTACATGGCATGATTAAAAGATGACATTTCCTATCAAATGGGGAAGTTACCAATGTCCTTTATTTGGGGCACGCAAACAACCACAAAAAGATGACATTTCCCTCTAAATGGGGAAAGCTGCATTGGTTATGCTGATTTTGGGGGCCCTTCATGGAGAATTGGTCAACTTTTCTGTAAAGCTTTCCCTCTGAGGAGCGGGTGAGCTGCCACGGTCTCAGCGACCTGAGCTTCTTGGCGCTGCTGGGCGCCGCGGGGGGCCTGCTGCTGCTGGGGGCGTTGGGTCTGGTGCTCTTCGACCAGCGGGCGCTGCCGTGCCTGGCGGCGCGCCTCAGGGAAAACGGCGCGGGCGCGGGCGGCAAGGCCATGGGGCCCGGGAGCTCAGTGATGCTTGGGGGTTTCTTGGTTCTTGCCTGGTTTGGGGGGTGAAGGAGTGCTTTCGTGGTTCTTGGTTCTTGTGTGGTGGTGTTCCGGGGGTGATTCGCGGATTGGGAGTGATCCCTTAAAGTTTCTTGTTTTTTGTGTGGTGCTTTGGGGGGGATTCGCGGATTAGGAGTGATCCTTATGGTTTCTTGGTTCTTGTGGTGGTTTGGGGGGTGATTCGCTGATTTTCACCCGCCTTTTGTTCCCCCCCCCTTCAACGAAGGCGACAGGCTGCGATGTGAGCGCAGGTGATTGCAGGTGATGCAGTTGATGCAGGGGATGCAGGAAGTGCAGGGGATGCAGGTGATGCAGCTAATGCAGGTGGTGTGCCTGAAGGAGGAATGAGGCAGTGCAAGCGATTCAAGTGTGGCCCAAGAGTGAGGCTATGCGGAGAATGCAGGTGATGTGAGTGAGGTGATGCAGACACTCAACGCAGGCAATGCCGGTGATGCAGGCAATGGAGGCGGTGAGTCTGGCAAGTGCATTTCTTTACTGCATGCAAAGAAGTTTGTTGTTTGCGCTCATGAGACTGGCTAAGAAACTTGCGCCCAGGTCGCAATTGCCGCAAACCGCAGGCGGGCGTGAGGGAGTGATGGGGTGGAGACGGGGGAAAAGTAGCTTGGCCTTGAGATTCTTGCCCATTCCGTTCGTGGCCCAGCCGGCTGATTGCCGCCTAGGTGCTCTAGGTTCGCCCACTGAAAGTGACACAAGCGTGGCACAAAAGCTGTTTGTTCCCAGTCGCCAATCACACCAAAATATGTTTTTTTCTTCTTTTTTTTTCTGTTCTGTTTTTTTCTTCACAAAGTCGGATTGACGGTTTCTTCCATACCCAAGTCCCAAGCTCCCAAACTCACAAATCTCCAAAGGCCGAGACCTTGACCCAGACACGTGGGTCCATAGGTGTGAGGTCCACCAGAACCAACCCAGGCGCACCTGGGCCGGACGCGCTGCGCTTGGCGGCGGCGTTGCCCAGCGGCACGGCTCAGCTGGGCCATGACCCCAGCGCAGGAGAGCCCTTCGGTGGCGAAAGGGCGGAGAGTTTTTTTTTTGGGGTTGTGTCCCCGAAAGGTTGCAGAAAGATCTGCTGCTCGAGGGATTTTCCAAGGGCCAAATAGCAGAAGGACCGTGGAGTTCGTGGATTATTTTCCAAGATTGGCCATAGAAACCAGAACGAAGGTTTGAACCGCAATGAAAAGCGGATCCGCCTCAGCTTGAGCGATGGCTGGATGGATGGATGCACTGACGGATGGATGGGCCAAACATTGAAGCTTGTTGGCTCAAACGGTGTTGGAATCAGCAACTTTTGCAAAGATCCGGCATTCAAAGAGTCATGCTTTTAGGGAGCAAGCTCCCTGTCCCTAGACTTGAGGCGGCCTTGATTGGCATACACCACGGAGTTGCCACCCTCAAGAGTCGAGTCACCATGACTCGTGGCCGTCGGCGACGATTCCACTTGTGAAAGCGAGGCAAGGACAATGTGGTGCCAACATGTGTACTAGCCTCCACATGACTTCTGTGCCTGTGAATACCAGGCACCCTTTCTGGGTTCCCTTCAACACGCCCTTGCAAGGGACTTGGGCGGACTCACTACACTTCACAAATGAGGAGGGTAAACAGTAATTTTCCTATGTCCATCCAGAGTTGGTGACTGGTACTCGTTGATCTTCCCTTTTCTGTGTATTTCTGAATCCCTGACATGCTCGCACACAACAGGTGCCAAGGGTTTATTAAACAAATATAGTGTTGTTGGTGCAGATGATATTTTGTGTTTGTCTCAAAACGGGGAACTCTCAATCAAATATTTAGTAACTCTTCAATGACTGGCAAACCCTTTCACTTGACATGACTGGCAGACCTTTGGGGTCTGGTTTCCGTTGGTTCAAAATCACCCGAGGGGGGTGCTGCCGCGCCAGGACTCGCCCCAGCCTTGGTGCTCCGCAGGATCTTCGTCTGGATCGCCTCCGTTGGGGTGTCGGCGCGCCTGGCCGGGGACTCAGTGTCCCGGAGGTTTTTCCCTCCCCACGAATAAAGAAAAGAAAGGAAAAAAAGAAACCGCCGCACCCAAGAATTGCCACAGGTGGAAAGCTGAGACCTTCTGCTCCACAAATCGCAGAAGGGCGTTGGAGGATTTTGTTCTGGATGGCACACTCTTGCTTGATTTTCTGGTGTTTTGAAAGGCTACCTACCAATCAACCGAACAACCAAACGGCCAAACAACCAATCAGCAGTCAACAAACGAACAAATCAAGCAACCAACCATTCAACCGACCAAGCAAAAAAGGCAAACAAAAAAGCAAGGAGCAAAGCTGAGGAGTTCTGTGATGGGGTCCCATGTCAAACAATTGCCCTCCTGAGGCGCTGCTGGCCGGGTATGCTGCACTGCTACAGCCTGGGCTCCCGGGGGCGTCCGGTAATTGGGGACACCATGGGGTTAGGGAACCTGCAGGCAATTGAGGGAAACTGTCCCTTGCAGGGAAATACTGACAGAAAACTGAGGGCCATACTGGAGTAGACGAAATTCTGCACCACCCAATAAACCCTGGAATGATGATTCCCCTGTAAACACCAAGGATTGTCCGTATTGTATTGGCAGCGGCCGCATCGGCATTTCTGCTTGGGGGAAACTTCCCGCTTGGCTTGGCACTGAGGAGAGACTTTTTGGAAGTTGCGGCAGAGATGCTGCTCTGCTTGCTGCCGCTGATTTGGTGTGCCACTGGGCAAAGAAAGTAGCGCTGGGAGGGGTCGGACTCATTTTGTAAAATATTTTTTGCTTATCATGACCAACTTGGATACGAAGTGGTGACCTGGGGCAAGCATGGCAATGCGAGGTTTTGAGTTGTAATTGCACCAAAGCGGTTTGTGCTTGTTTGGGCTTTGCGTTCATTGACACGTTATCATCAACAGCATCAAGCATCAAATGGATCAACAGTGTAAACAGCGTCAACAGCATCAACGGCATCAACAGTATCAGTGGTCAAATTAAATCACTGGCAGACAGCATCAGCGCGTTGGCATTTGCATCATTTGCATCATTTGCATCGCCAGCACCATCATTTTCCCCTACCTAAACATTCGGGATGTTATCCCATTCCTCACTGGAGTCACGATGCAAGCATTCAACAAATAAAAATCAAATGCCTCAAGGGTCTTGCACCAATCTCGGCATGGCATGACTAGCAGCATCACCAGCATCGCCAGCATCATCAGCATCATCAGCATCAACCACATTACTAGCATCATTAGCATCACACGCATCATCCGCATCACTAACATCATCAGCATCACTAGCCACATTCCACATTACCAGCGCCGGACAATCCCATCTAGCAGCAACACCAGCAGCAAAACAGCTGTCAGCTCCTCCAGCATCATGCCAACTGATGCTTGAGACAGGCCTGCACCACCTCGGGCAGCATCAGCTTCTTGGCCCTACGACATAGGCAGGGGAGACCAGGGGCTTGGTCTTTTGCTTTGGTGACAGGATTGGCTAGAAGCGTAGCTAATAGAAAATGCCCAGTTGGAAGTAGCATGCGTGCCATGTTAATTGCGGCCGGGAGCCTTCACTTCATCCAAGCTTTCAACCAGAGGCTGTTTGGCTTAGGCTGCCAAATGCCTGCTTAGCTCCTACTCCCTCCTTGTAGCGCATGGGTCACCCGCTTGAGCACCATCCATTTTCGCGTTTTGTCCTCTTTTTGTTGTACATGTCTGTGCTGTTGCGTCATGGTTCCCCTTTTGACAAGGCATAAACAGGCGGCAAGTGCCAAGACATCTAATGCCAGTTCTGCTCAGTTGTGGTGTGGCATGCTCATAGAGCTTGGCGCTAGAAAGGAGCTGCTTTTGTGGAGTCTACGCCAGCCAGCTCAACCTGGCCTTGTCCTGAACTCAAACGCCCGCGAGGTGTCCACGCTTCACCATCTTCGCAGTGATTGCCATTGCCGCGGAGATGCCGCTTAGCAAGTCTAGGGGGTTAAGGGTGGGCAACGATGACACATGTACACATCACATGGAGACATCCAGATTTGGACTTGAGCTCAGCGACGCTATCTTGAATCAATCTTTGCGAATGTTAGACAACGCATTCACCACGTCAGCCCTTCCAAGTCCCAAGAGCGGTTTTCCCACTGGTTGTGCAGCCCGCAGATCCGGGTCATGGATCAAGGGACCTGCTCACGGATAGAATGCATCCGCTGGCCTGGGGTCCAACAAGATGGGGGCATTGAACTCCATACTTGTGAGCATGAAGCACTGCACCCTTTTGAGCAGGCGGCACCGATGTTGGACCCAGGTATACAGTTGTTTCATCATACAGACTCTCTTTTGTGCCTGGTGCTTCTGGCAAAGATGTGCTTGTCCATGCCTTGCTCTTGTCAGCTGCTTCAGGAGCTCCGGGAGTTTTGAGTTGGAGGCTCTTAGGCCGCGGTTTGTGATACAGCCCATTGCCAGTATCGAAGCGTGTTGAACGCTCGTGGACGCCATTTGCAGGGTCAAATGTTGAAAGAGTCAAACCCTCGAGGGTGCAAGCCCAAGGTGGATGTTGATGGGGGGTCATCAGATTTGCGACGCTTGACGGGTGGCAGCTCTTGCCGTTCTGCCTCGTGGCCCAGGTATAGCGCCGTTGCCGCAACCTCGGTGCAATGGGGTCGGTCTGGAGGACGATCCCCAACGTGACACTTTGCCTCGAAAGGGGGAGCTAGACGTTCCTGCTTCATTTTGAGGGGGGCGACCAGTTATTGATTCATGAAATCATGTCTTCTGGCGGACTTTTTTTGGGGGGCAATGGCCTTCGGTCCCCCAATTAGTACGCCAATGGTTTGATTCTCTCCAACAACCAGGTCCTTCCTAGGTATTCGTAAGTTTGCCTTGTCACAAGGTGCTTCCAGTTTGGCTTACCCAAGTCATCGCGCAAATTCGCCAAGCTGGGAGCGGGTCAATCCGGAGGCCGCCGCGATGGCGGTGGCTGCTGCTCCCTGCGATGAGCACTTCCCCTGGCGCACGGTGCTGGCGGGGACGTGTTTTGGGGAGAGGGTGGATGGTTTGGAGTGGCGGGCTGGGAAGGTCTGCACAGAATATGGGAATTCAGATGGGGTTTGGGATGGTGCTTGCTTTGGGAGTCTCAAGACTTGGGGATGGCTCAGCTTTTGGCGGAGTTGATTCCAGGGAACCGGACCCTCGGTTTTATTGAGGGTGTCCAATGCTAGGATGATGGCTGCACCCTTCCACACCAAGGTCTGTGCGAGGAAATCTGAAGAGAGGTACTCGGTTGCCCAAAACGGCTGGGCCTGCGAAGGGACTTTAAAGGGGTCCAGAAAACCCATGGTTTTGACAGGCGTCAACAGCTTGACAAGCATCATGTTGAACTTTCACTCAGGACTTTTTGCCACACGGACCAAATTTTTGAGAACATGGCAACAGGCGTCTTTGTGGGGATTTCTATGACCCGAACATCGATGCGTGCGACAAAAACAAAGTCCCCGCTTCGATGTCTGTTTTCGTCAAGCATCGATTTTGCCAGCCCAAAACGCTCTGGATGTGTGCTTGCAGCCAAACTGAAGGAGCAGAATCCATGTCTGCCCCTCCGAGAGCATCGGTCGGGCAGCTGGTTGGTTGCGTGGGGACGTCTCAGGTTTCTGGCTTTATGTTGATCCAATGCGGGCAAATTTGGGGTGTGGGTGGGGTGTGGGTGTGTGTGTGGCCGGCGCCACACCCATCCGGAGCGGACCCCCAAACGCCTCTTGTTTGGCAAATTTCCTTGTTCTAGATGTGGGGTTTATTTGCGGTCGGAGTGCCGTGGACGCCAAACCTGCCTTGAGTCCCAGGAGAATTTGCAGCATTCATCCTTTCGGCTGCTCATGGCTCCAAAGCATGGCGTGATACTTGCTAAACCTTCATTTCGAAGCGCGACGAAACCCGGTCACAAAAGATCACAGATCACAGCAATGGCGCATTGGGGCCCAAAGGTGCTGTACTTCGGGGCTGGCTTGTGGTGGTGCTTCACGCCGATGTACCTCTTCGCCTATGAAATGGTGCAGCTGATGGGACAAGAGAAGCCGACCGGTTTGGAGGTGTTACTCATCAAAGCCTTGGCTATGTACTGCTTATTCCTGGGAGTCGGCTGCTTCTTGGCCGCGCGAAGCGAGAGCTTCATCGCATGCGCCGTATCCTTGTGGACCATGCTGGGAATCTGCGCCTACTTTGCCTTTGTATTCTACCCCTTCGACGTCCGTCTCGCCAACAGTCCCTACTTCGGGACACCCGCCTACTTCGCCATTTGGTCCTCCTGGATCCTGAGCGTGCTGCTTGTTGTGGCAGCCCTTGTTCATGATTACCGCCTGCCGATAGGAGAAAAGCTCTGCTAGTCGATGTAATGTAAGGAATCGGCCGGTTGCATGTCTATTCCGGACTGCCGACTGGGTATGTCTACACCTGGAGGTTCAGGCTTTCGGGTCGGTAGGAGCATTTGCAGCCACGTCAAGGGGTAGGCGCACAGTGCTTTTTTGTTGTTGTAGTGGCATGAGCGACCGTGAATTGTCCTACAACATACCACTCTTCAAGTTCGGAGTTCGGAGTTGATTCAAGAATTGCTTTCCACAATGAGTTGCCAGGCTGACTGGGTCAGCGGGTGTTGGCTTCGGAATGGTTAGGATCATCCGAGAGGTACGGAAGCGCTGAGTCATTATGTGCTCCACTCAGGACCAAGATTGACTTGCGTTCGAAAATCGAGGGTTGTCACATGCGCAAGTGCCTCAAAGAGTCTCACCTCAGTTGTGAACCAAAGCTCAAACCAACCTCAAAACCAACCTACCTACCTCAACCCGAGCAACCTCAAGCCTTCAGCCTGCCTCAAACCTCACAACCACAGCCCACCCAACCGCAGCTCTACTGCCTCGGGGTGCTGGCCACGGTGCTGCGGTGCTACTCCGCAGTGCTGGCCGGGCTCCCTCAGCACCGGGCTGTTGGCCTGGGAGTTTCAGAAAAATGCCAAAACACGTGGTTGACAACTGAAAACACCATGGCAACAACTCCAGGTACCATTTTCGAGGTGTTATTTTTCTTTGTCGCTGCGTGTGTACTTTTTCTTCGAAAGCCGTCTGCAAACGGGCCCAAATTTTGGCTCTCAAAGTCAGAAACTGGGGATGTTGCCCCAACACCTCTTGGGGTGAGGCCGTGAGGCTTGAGGAGGCCACGGCGGCGGCTTGTCGCCGCGTGCTGCCCCACTTAGAGGAGCGACACCTGCCTTTTCCGGGGGTGATGGCTGGCAATGGGGTGCGGAGGGGTGGGTGGCTGTGACAACTGAAGATGGGTGTTGTTTTGTTGCGTGGGTTTCAGTTTTTGGATCTGAGCCCAGCCCAGCATCTCCGGCGTGCTTTTTTTGGTTTTCTGCCAGGAGATGGATGATGACGGCCCTGTGGCTGAAGGTGGGGGGCCTTAGCGCGAAAGGCAAGGATGATTGGTAGGGGCTGCATGTCCAGCTGCGAGAGGTTGACCTGGGACCCCGGTAGCTTAAACATCCCAGGCGAGGAAACCAGAATTTGTGTTTAGTGCTTGATCTACTTGCCTCGGTATTGCGGTGATGTATGCTTTCTAGCATTCTTTGAGCTGTTTCCCGAGCAGCAACACATCTGCGTATGACCATGGTGATGATTTATCAAGAGCCGCATGTGGCTACCCGCTACCCGCTCGAAGCTCAACAAGATGTCCCGACGGTTGTGCTAGCTTGGCCATCTTGCCGAGGTGACATCCAATGCAGCCTGGAGCTGGAGGATTGGAGGGGATAGAGGCAAATTCTTCCTGGTGGCTTGCCAGGAACGGAAGGCTACTCAACGCTGAACGCTCAACAGGTTTGAGGACTCCAATGATCAGGACAAGAAGGAACGATGCAGTCTGATTTGTTTTGTTAGCGGTGGGTGTGAACAGCAAGGCAAGAGAAGTGCTGTGTGTGCGTGTGTTTATCTGTTTCTCCGCACATGTGGGCATTGGTTGTTGCTGGATCAAGTACCATGTGCAAAAGCAGTTCTTGGAATCAGAGAGTGAACTGGGCAACATCGGCCGGCATGAGTCTCTCCCGATACGAATTGAGCGCGGAGGAGATTTTATTGATTGTTCCAACAAGAAGCTCCGATTCTGTATTCTCAGCTCAAAGCACGCACGCTCACGCAGCCTCAAAGCTCAAAGCACGGCGCAAGAAGAGTGCGAGCCAAAAGCGCACCGCTCATGGCAAGTACATGTAGGGGAACCACTGTCGCTGTCCACTTGTATTCTTAGATTTGAAGCCCTTGCAGATGAACAAGCACTCATCCGAGTTGCAATTCGGATTCCTTTTTTGGAGCTCGGTTTCTCGGTTTGACACAGCTTCCTGTATTACCTACATTGCAGTTGCACTGCTCAACGCCTAGCTCCACAGACGCAAGTGTGACAGCACCTGACTCAGCAACACGCAATGGCACATCTTTCAGCAGACCTTTCCTTCGGCGAACAATTGTAGCCAATTTCTGAGCCCCTTGTCAGTGCACGGTTTGCTACCCCCGCAACAGTCGTTCTTTTTTAGTTGATTTCCACGTGTATGTCAGCCCTTGCCGGAAGCGAATGACAGAAAAGGGCAGCCAAACTTGTCACAATGGCCGCGCTTGCGCCGGCTTAGCCTTCTGAGGGCAAGGCGCGCTTTGGGGTCGTGACACCGGGACTGGTGGAAAAACCAAGGTATTGGTGAACATGGAGAACATGAAAGCTTTGGACAGCTTTGTAGAACGTGGTTTGAGCATGAATTATTTGGATTGGAGTCCCGCAAGGACTGGCCGAGGCTTCGGATCTTTACTGCTTCGGCATTGTCCATGTGAGCTTCCCTCAGCAATTTTTCATATGGATTAACATGCAGGCATCAAAAAATGACGCGGAGCAGCAAAGCCCTTCATTGTACAAGGCTTTGAATATGTAGTTGGCCTTGAGAGCTCCTTTTTCCCACGTTTTTAGAAGGCTTGACGAAGGGATATCTTTTCCAGAGGGCCTTGGTGGCTTGGACTTGCAGCTTTTGACATTGCATGCTCGCTTCCCTGACTCCAGATGGGTGCGTCATAGTTCGAGGTACTCTTTTTTGGTGTTTTTTGTGTGGGTTTTGAAGGGAAAACCACAGGAACAACCCCAATTTTGGGTTCCCTACTAACAAGACCCACCCAGGCGTGCCGGTTTTTCCCAGCCACTTGCTTCTCCAGGCCGCCGGCTTGGCCACTTCGGCGATCGGTCGGATGGAGTCGCTGCGCGGGGCGCTGCCCGCGCCGCAGCTGCAGCCCAGGCTGCTGGCGATGCTCCAGTGGTTGGATCACCGCCTCACGGGCGCCCAAGTGACCTACTGGGCGGCTCGGCTCGCTCTCGGCTCTGGGCTCAGCTCTTCTTGGCGGTGCGGCGGCGCGGTTCTCGGTACGGCTTTGGTGTCGATTCTTGAAGTCATAGCAATGTCTCAGTCGAAAGCGAAATGAACGACCTGAGCTTTCTTGGTTTCCCGGTTCCAAAAGGCGACCTTTGACTTCCAGGTCTGTGAGAGGTGCAGGGCCGGCAGAGTGTCGCTGTGCTTGTCTGGCAAGGTTCCAGGATTCCAGCAAAGACGAACAGGAGGGTGCAGGGCTTTGTTGGCTGTACAGATCATCTTGGGGTGTGTCAGAAAGGCAAGTCCACCACCAAGCCATTGGGTTGCCAACCCCATTTGCGCAACTCCGAGATTCTGCCCACACTGGATGCAAGGAACCCTACATTTCCCCCTCTGTATTTGGGAACCGTTGGAATTTGGTTTCCTTTGTGCGGCCTGAACCATAGAACTTTCCTCTCACTGGCATGAAACCTGGCCAAAGGTTGCTTTGAAAGGAAACATGGTCTTCAGTGGGCTTCCATCAGGTTTTGTGGTGAGGGAGTGTAGTTGTCATCCCCAGATTGCACTTCCCTCAATGTCCGACTCCCAGGGATGAGAGGTGAGTGTTTTCTGAATCCAGGCCTACCCCGGTAGATTGTGGCCTTTCCACCAGGTTGCGGGAAAGCGTGTTCACGCAACCAGTTGCCCATAGCCCCCTTCTACGATAAGGATGTTGGTGCAAGACGTTTGAACAACAGGACCCCTTCCAACATATTGTTTGAACACGTTGTGAACCCCCAAAGCTCCCAAGCACCAAGTCCCCCAAGCTCCCCCCTCCCAAAGGCCTCCCCCCCCAAAACCCCCAGACCCAAGCCCCAAAGCGGCCCCGGTGAGGTGACGGGGGGCACGCTGCTGGGCGCATTGCGGCACCGGGGCTTTGTGCCCCACGACGATGACCTGGACCTCGAGCTCCTGGCCGAGGACTTGCCAAAGGCGCAAGAGGCGAGGTGCTGTTGGCAACCAGAGGTTTGGACGCCCCCCCCAGAGCTGCAAACAACTGCCCTTTGGATGTCTAACAAACCAATCATGCCTATTTGATCTCATTTGTATATTTGGAGCTTGAGCGAAAAGTCGAGCTTGTTGCACCTTTGCAGTCGCGAAGAAACTTAATCCATCTATGGACCACGTGCACACGCAGAGTGCATGCGGCAGTCGGGCTCGCGCGGGCCACGCCAAATTCCTCATGGCGTGCATCTGCTTGCTAGATGGCACGGAGGTGATCACAGCAGCAGGATTCTTCGTGTTGTGGGACCAGCACGGACTAGAGGACAAGGGGGTGCTGTTTTGACGCCTCCGGCGCTGGCCAAAAGGTTGCTTTTGCCGAACTCTGGCAGCTTGCATTGGCCAGTGGCCTTAGCAGTCTGAGACCTGAGTCTCGTTGGGAGAATGCTGAGTGCCTGACGGCAATTGTGCGGCCATACGCCAACGCACTAGCAGACGAAGGACAAAGTTCTCGTGTTGACTTGGCTTCCTTTTGGTTTTCCTTTGGCTGAGCACCCCAATCTGGTTGCCTTCCCCAGTTCCAGCATACACGCACCTACTGCATCATGTAACACCCTTGACCTTACTTCACCTGACGCTTTGTCTTGTTGACTTCAATCATGGCCAGGGCTGCTGTTTCAACTCGGCTTCCCTTCAAAAAGGGTTCACAACTGGTCTGATGGTTGTTTCCCGGCCACCCTTGTTTACGGAGTTCCCTGGCCCAATTTCCCTTGACCGCTTCACCGCCTTTCTTCTTTTGCAGGACCCTTTGGGGGCCCGCAAAATGACGCCGAAAGCCGGCGATGTCAAGAAAGGGACCCCTGGCAGGCGCTGGGCGCGGTGGGTGCCTCCTGGCGAGGGCTGGGGTGCTGGACCGGCACGGCCCGAGCCTCGGCACTAGGAGAGGGTCGAGCTGCAGCGGAATCGGTCCAAAAAGAGTCGAGGGGTCGACCTCTTCGAACATTTCGGGCTTTGGTTGGTGGTAGTTTCTTTTGAACCCGCTGAAAGTAAAAAACTGTTAGCAGGGGATCCGGCACTAGCGTGCCGAAAAGTGGCCCACCGCTTTTTGTCTGTCTAACCAACCAACCAACCATCCAACGATCTGGCTGCCTGCAGGCTGGCTGGCTAAGAAGCTGAGTACTGAGCTATTTGACTAAATAGCAAGCTCGCTGGCTGACAAGCTCGCTGGCTATCTAGGTACTCAGACAAATCTGACTTACTCACCAAGCAAGCTGGGCAAACTCTACTTTGGTGTCACGCCGCTAAAAAGAAACCCTTCAACCAGGTCGCCCTGTCTCCCAAATGGCGTTTCGACACGCCCAGAATCGTCCTCACCGGGTTTGCGGGCAGGCGCTCGCTTCCGGCTCAGGAGGTGGCCATGGGTCGCTTCTTCTTCTGGGGCGGCGACGGCCGCTTCTCGGAGAGCGTGGACGTCTTCCTCAGGGAGCGGCCCTTGGCAGCCCTCCCGGAGTTCCCCTCCGAGGCGATTGGAGGGGACACGTCCAAACCCACAACCGGGGCAGAGAAATCTCACTGTTGCGGGACCCTCTTGGCTTTGTTGCTTTGCAGAGTAAATGCTTCATATGCTTGACCCTTAGGGGATGCCCCCGCAGAGAGGTTTTGCTCCTGGGTAACTGTGGGCCTGGGCAATTGGCTGTTCCAATCCCCAAATACTGCCCCGCCCCCCCTCACAACCCAGCAGGGGATGGGCCCTGTCTTTGCGGGAGACAGAATTGCAACAAAACGGAGGTTTCCATGTGACCCAGCCATCCCACCCGGCAGGAGGGGGATAAAAAACATCTACCCACTGACCAACCAGCAAAGGGTTGCACCAAAAAATCGGAGGTGTCCAAATACCTCACAAGCTCCAAATACTGCCCCACCCCCCCCCACTCCCCCCCAGCCCCCCACCCCCCCACCCCCCCCCACCCCCCCAACAAATTTCCACAGCCCCCGAGGTTTCCCCTTGGCGCCAGGAGGAGGTCTTCCCCCTGGCGCGCGCGGCCTTCCACCAGCTCTCGGTGCCGGTGCCCTGCGGCGCGCGGCGCTTCCTCGCCCGGTGCTACGGGGACTCCTGGGCTGAGGAGGCGGTGGTGTGGAGCCACTCCAGCCGCAGCAGGAGGCGATCTGGTTGTTGGTTCTTGGGGGCCCCGGACCTGTGGATGGTGGGATAGGGAATGAATGCAGGGTGTTTGGGAAGGCACCGGAAGGGGATTCCTTTAAAGGACCCTGCCGAGAACGTTTGTTTGTTTGTCTGGTTTTCTTTTTCTTGGAAGCTTTGAGATTTCAAGTCCCATAAGACTTCTGGTTTGGGGGTGGAGCGGGCCAAATATTGCGCGGGGCGGACAGGAAGAAAGTGGGGCCCAGGTCTTTT